GATATAATTAGTAGCATCCTAAAATATGGATGAGGATAGTGATAGCAAGTTACCTATTACATATTATTGATGAAACGGCAAAAACATAAAGAGCGAGAGGCTCAAGAATTTTCAAAGGGTCGTGTCAGTCATTCCTCAAATAAATTAATGAGGTGCTGCTCTCTTTCCTCTGTCCGAAACTGCATTTCCACTAGCTGACAGTTTGTAACTGACTTGACCAGCTGACTTCGCTACGAGCCGATTGGCTGTGGAAACATGTGGCGTGCCGTACGTTCTTAAACAAGCCTCTGGACATTTGACGAGCCGGGTCGCAGACAACGGCACCAGTCGGTTTGAGTCGGGGTGTGACAGGTCTAAAACAGTTACGACTCATTATGAATCTTTGGTCTCATTGATTCGTTAAGCAATTCTTTTTTGACGGCAATTCAAAATGTCATGTATAAATGTCACATATTTAAGTATATGTTGGTTTTGTCACACTCACTTAAAATTGGTTCTGCAGATAAAGCGTTTAGTTCTCATCCAGCGTGGTGAAATGTGTCCATACATTCACAACACCTTTCCTTTTTACTACGGTTAAGGTCTGACATTTTAACGCTTTGGTGCAAGCAATGTGTAAGCATTAATAAAAGGAACTGATATTGTCTGAGCTGAACAATTCAGAAACAGTCTTAAATGAGAACTGATTCTCTGTGTCCATGCTTTGTATTTTGAACGTCATAGTAGAGTTTCAAAGTGAATATGTTAGTTGGTTTTGTGCTAGGCTGGAGCAGATAAAGTGGTAAATGTGGCTGCCTGTTTGACGGTGGTATAGATTTATGATGGCACAGCCTGAAGCTTGATATAGTGCTCATCTGGCTAGTAGCATTTAATTTGATTCTAGCTTGGTCTGTATGAGTGCTTAAGGGATATTAACACCCTTAAGTGTATTGATTAAATTAACCAATTTAACATTAAATCCAAAAAAACAAACATTTTACATTCTTGGAATTTACACATTGGATTCTCACCAATGTTGCTTCCTAAAAAGTGAAGTCATGATATAATTCATAAGTTATTATACTCTCTTTATTCTTCATTTCTCGTCTGCTGTGACGATAACCCACTTCTGAATGAGCCTCACTGTGCGTGAACAAGAAATGTGTCATATTACTGAAGATGCTCTCAGAATTGAGACTGCAGACAGTAACTTCTGCTGACCTCATATCAGTGTCACATAGCCAATATTCTTCCAGCTGAAAATATGCATCAGACTATTTTATTTCATAGTTCTAGCCTGACTGGAATGATGAAGCAGGAATATGGTGTTTGTAGAAATATATAAACAGGGTATTATGACAGTATTGTTTTCACAATGATGTTACAATATTCTCGTGAGATGTGGAGACGGTATCAAAACATAAAAACACAACTGTTTATTGTCTAACCACAGTAGTAAAAACCATAGCGGCGAGACTTACTGACTAAAAGTAAAAGGGTTTGTTGGAGGATACTGGTAATGAAAGAATAAACATTTATGAGTTCAGGATAGTTGATGTAATTGGTTAATAGCTAGTTTCAAAATCCAGCACTAATATATTTACAACACTGGTATATTACCTTCAGAAACACACTGAGGTGGCATTGAAAATATCTTTAAAACTCCAAAAACCTTGATTACAGTCTACAAATTTGCCTGTCAAAATATCTTGAGAAACTGAGACGCTTCTAGCTGATTAGCATCTATTTAAAATGACTAATCTGTTGACATCTTTTCATTTTTACAGAAACATAAAGGCTCTGTGTAGAGTGATTAACCTTCAGTGGAAAGATCAGCCTGAGAGGGGGTCCTGCCAATAGTGCAGACTCCTACTGTGGCAGTGCCAGCCAACAGCTGCCTCTCTCCTTAAAGCCAGCTCTTGTGAACTGTAACTGGAGGGGGAATTTAGATTATCTGCAGCTTTCCTTCTCCACAAATTCATAGAGACACACGCATAAATGACTGTTGTTGTGTGCACCCACATCCACATGACAATGATCTCATTTATCCACGTAAGCATTTGATCTTACAAATCTTACAACTGCTGCATGAGCTGCAGAAACACATCTTCCATTTTGTAGCTTGCTTGAACTTTACTGAGGTAGTCTACATTGAGTAGTAATTAACTGGCCTCGTGGTGAAGGACAGCCACTCACCACAGCTTTCTCAAGTAAATAATAACCTGCAAAATCTACATTGATTAAAACATTTTCGACACATAACTGAATAAAACGCAAATGTATTTTCACATGTAGTTTTTACTTATATGTGGATTAATCCTAAATTGAGGCCAGTGAGTTTGCTGATGCTTGCATGTAGTGACTGCTCTACTTCATCATGACCTTTTCAGTAAATGCAACACAGAAACTATTTCATTTCAGCTTTTCCTTCAGTACACCCCTTTTAAAAAAGGACACTAAAGTTAATCCACCATAGAACCACACAGCCCTAGTTAGTGCAAAAGCCCAGCTACTAACATATATTTCAATAAAAATGCCTACTTCAGAACTGGTTTGCACTGCTCTGTTAAAGCATGCCACTGCACTGTGTTATTTAGTGGAAAATGGGATAATCAATTATTTTACTAGATGGAGGGTAACTGAATACAAGCCACACTCTATTGATTTAGTTATAGGCCATGTATGCAGTTCAGCAAGGGGGGAATTTACATTGAGAGTGCTGCATCTACGCCTATCTGACAACGAACAATGGAAATTTGCCTTGTATCTACATTGGGAGGTAGATTTAACTAGACATTCACTCCCAACATCTGCACCTGGCAAACTTGCAACAGTTAGCTGAATGCTTCAATACAACTCTGCCCCCAGTGACCAGGCTGAGGAAGGGGCCTTGGTTAAATTCACAAAATGTGATATTCTGTGCCATTCTGCTGTCTTGGCATCCCTTTTATCCTGCACGGAGAGGTAGTGGCCACACTTTATGTGTGAGGAAGTGCTGGGTAGAAAAGGGAGCTGAGGCTAATACAAAGATGATCGATCCCCCTTTTTTTTTTTTTTTAAAGCAAGGCCTCCGGTTGAGTCAAAACAAGGAAGCGAGTTGGCAGCTGTACGCCAACCTTTCATGGACAAAGCCTGCCATGGTAGTCTAACATTAATGATGGTCTCGTCGATTTGGTAAGCGAACCAAGTTAGCTTCCCCAGCTTGCAAACACAAAACCTGACTAACCAGCCACAAAGCTAATGTTAGCCATAAAAAAAAAAAAGGCTGATCCGGCTTAAAATACATTCTGACATTTTCCTCATCAATCATAACAATGTGTAAATTAATGGG